AWKAAWCACCATTCTTGGTTTTCACATGACGTCATCGGTTGAAAAAAATTCTAAATGATATTTATTAATAGTAATATGCATATTTACTATTGCTTTATAGTTTAGTTGATTATAACTGATTTAAATTAATAAGATTTGGGTATGATTACCAGATCTAGGATACCAACTCCAAAAGAGTTTTAATGTATCACTAAAACATCTGCTGGGTTTACACACATACATGTATACATATACCTGTAGGTCTTGACCCCAGAATATTTCCTCAAGTTGCATTGCTTGTAGCTCTCATGTACATTTTATAATATCTCATGAGAGAGCCACTAATACTCACTTGTGTGATATCAATAATTAGCCACTTGAAGATAAAATGGAATCTCAAAGTATCACTGACAACTGATAGATTTCTTGATTTGATAAGCTTAAACATTCTCACTGTTTTACATGTAAGAATTCAGCTGTTTTGAAGATATAAATTTTACACCGAGCTTCAGATCTGTTATATTATTTTTCATGTGCAAACTTTATAGTATATTATGTACATTTTCTTGCTCATGCACTAATAATATTTAAAGCTTTATAGTTTACAACGTGTACAAAACTTGCGGTCGAGACCTATGCAAAGATTTTTACAAAATATAAAACTTACCTGCACTCTTCYAAATCCGATAATTGAGCTACAAGACGGTCTAGCTGCTCCTCGAGATTTTGCTTCAGTTTATGCGTTTCTGATTGTCCTCTAGAAGTCATTTCTAAAAGCTTTTAGTAAATAATTCAGCCAATATTTCCCAACTCTTGCAATCAAAACACGTTWAACATGACGATCGAGAGAGCTTGGGGAAGAGGGACATCTTTCGACTTTCCAAAAGGGCCCATGGCAACAAAAAAGTTGTATATTTTTTTCGTATTTTTATTCATTTTTGAATAAATTAAAATTCGTTTGGCAAAATTATGACGATTTTTTTTAAGCATATTACTTGAGAATAATCTGAAAATTTCACTCTTCGAAATTTTCTTTTTTCGTCACTTTTTTTCATTTTTTTCTGTTTCATCCTCAAAAGTTTGTTTTGAATTTCGAAAATTATTGAAAATATATAAATTATAAGTCAGAAAATATCTAGCTGTACTTTTAATGTTTTTACAAGCCAGGGCCTGTATTGATTTGTCTGAATGGGCCCTTGCATTAGATGGTGCAATATTCGGTCACATAGGGGTAGCRGGAATTGGTTATTACCAATCCCCCCTAACTTAGGGTGTGCGATCCAGTTCTGCCTCTTTTATAAAACCACGTTGTCGCACGACCAAGGTTAGTGTTTCCCATGTATTTAGTGCTAAATTTTCTACTTTAAAAACCTTTTATAGATAAAACACAATTAGGAGATGATACTTTTATGTACTGACTAGCTCCGGGAAATTTTTGGTCCATTTTCGTTGAGATTTTAAGAGGAGATAGAAGTTTTCAGCGCCGGTATCAATGGGTCAGTGGTAAAATGGAGCCTCGTATTGTGAAATTTTGACTTCTTTTCTATCATTCGATTTGTACAAAATCCTTGGATAACCTCAGTTGAAATAGTTTCATGGTAATAAATTGTAATTGAATTAAGTTTGTTGTCATATGGGAAGAAAATAAGTACGTTTCAACTCGTAAATAACGACCCGGCTTTCGAGTATTTCATCTCTTCAACACGTGAGAAAGCTAATTCCTTTTCGTGTAATCACGACAAATGATAAAACTTTTTTGAAAAAAGTTCCTCATTTGCGTACAAACCAATTGTCTATGTTATGAAATTRTGCGTYGAAGARAAAGCWTATTTYAMAAGACAAATTCACTTTGTTGCTCTTGAGTCTATGTTTTTGTTATAACTTAAGCTCACAAAGCTGAACGATGTACCAGTATTCCAGAGTTCAACTTATTTTTATTTTACAAACTTTTGATTAAAATGCTCTTTCTTTATTAAGCTCTAAGTCTCAAGATTTCCCTGAGCTTTAAATTTGTTATTACTTGTTCACAAAATCTAAATAACAAAAAAATAACAATTCTTCTTTTAAATTATAATTTTTTCTGCCATGTTCTTTGTGTTCACAAGAATGTACAGTTATTMGTGTTTTACATCGTGTATGACATGATTGCAAAAAGTAGTGCTCAAGGAAGCGTGACAGTTTCCATCATTGAATTATTGCATTTAACCAAAAACCTCTGACTCGGGGAAAAATGAAATGTCCATTTCTGGTCTTTATTGCATTTGCCTTCACAATCAATAATTTCTTGTGCAAAACCCAGTCCCACATTTAATTTTTGCAGTTACACCCTTAGCATTGTCAAGTTCCGAAGATGTAAAGACAATCACAAAGACATTTCCAAACATCATAATTGTATTTTTTTTTTTTTCAAAATTATTCAATTGAAATTCCACAACTTTATGACTGTGTCAATAACAGTTCACTTGTAAGCATGGTTTGGAGTTTTGAGAAACCTTTTTACAAATGACTGTTTTTTTTCTACTTTACAAATGAAAAACCTTATTGTGATTCACTGTATGCATGATTACTAAGAGCAGATTTCGTATGAGTGGGAAACGGACTGTACTGTACTGTGACCGTAATCGTACTGTAACCAAATTCTAGTGCCCCATTGGTTCACAAAAATTGTGCAGTCCAGTTCTAGTAACTGTACGGTAACCGAGCGGTAACGGTGTCCCACTCATATGAAATCTGCTCTATAGCATTACAGCAACATATTAGCAATTGGTTGTGAATTCCCTTAACTTGTCAAATATTTCAACTTTTAATCCTTTAGCCAGCCATCATGAGTGACAATGAAGATTTCGAAGGTGGTTCATCTGGTGCTGCTCAGCACTACCCCCAGCAGTGCTCTGCCCTGCGTAAAAATGGCCATGTACTTATCAAAGGACGTCCCTGTAAAATTGTAGAGATGAGCACCTCTAAGACTGGCAAACACGGCCATGCTAAGGTAACTCTCAATAAATGAATGCCGTTTTGAATGCTGTTTTATGATATTTTCATTATAGTTTCCTTCATGGTTCCCTGCAACATCTTGAAAGCCATTGCCTGATTTCATAACGTGGGAGACTGGGCACAAGTCCTTTATATGGGCAATGCTTTTACATGTACATCAAAGAGAGACAACTGTTGAGCGTGTATTGATAGATACCTGTGAGTAATTGTAGATGTGAAAGAAGGTTTCTATCATTGCACACTAATTCCACTTCACATAGATTATTCCCAGTGGAATTGAAACTGCCCAACCAACAAACACAACATCAAATATTTTTACTATTAAAATTCATTAGCTTTTCCTGATGAAAATGTAAAAAAAAAACATATAACACAAGGAATATTTTCGCTTGTCCGACCTACCTAGCGAGAGTGACTAGGGAAGTAGGCTCAATGAATCAGGATTAGTCAATGTAAAGGCACAGTTACCTTTCAAGATGGCACAGGGATTCCATATCACTGCAAACATGCAATAATGCCTGCAGCACACAATAGGAAAGTGCCTAAGCGAAATGTCACGTGAGTCGCTTTGATCACTGTGTGCRCCATTTTTGCTGTTCACAGTTAGCAAAATGCTGATCAAAGCAATTCCAGTGGCATTCCTCTTACGAGCTTTCCTTTTCTTTGGGTACAGTTGTACCCTCGAATTATTTCACAATGCACATGAGATTGTTTTTAATACTCCAGTTTTTAATTCTTAGTGAAGAACTGCTGCTTTGTTGACAACAAAATTCTCTTGCGCAAAGACCTGACCAAACACAAAAGAAAGCACGAGAAAATGTTGTTATTACAATAGCCTTGAAAATTTGCATTTTCCACGAGTTGAGACTAACCCTGTATTCCCATAAGACCTAAGGTATGAGCCTTCTGGGAATACAAGGTTAGCCTCAACTCGGTGAAAATGTAAATTTCTAACGCAATACTAACAACATTTTCTCGTGCTTTCTTTTGTGTTTGGTAAGGTCTTTGCGTTAGAGAATCTGCTGTTTAATAAATCAACGGTTATTTGCTTTGAATTTGAAAATGGAGTATTTTTAACAAATCGAAATCACTTTTCTATGGTCTGTACGCTTATCGACAATGAAAATGACRTCAGAAAATTCAAGTGGAAACACAAGCGTAGAGAGTGGTTTCACTGCCAAGTTTTGATCATTTTCTGGCGTCATTTTCATTGTCGATAAGCGTACAGACCATAGAAAAGCGATTTCCATTTGTTTTTTACCATAAAATAGCCAAATCAAAACAAAATCGTTTCTGCTGTGCGCCGTCTCCGTGCGTGAGCAATTCGTCATTTCATTGGTCTGTCCTATGATCGACAAGCTTTTAAAACAAACTTTAACAAGCTTTATCTAGCTTTTCGAACTTTGTAATCATGTTTAAATAGTTTTAGTAGTTTTTTATATTATCTTTTTCCATTGTATGTACTCATATGTAAATAATGCCGTAATTCAGCCTATGGCTGCAAGGCTTTTTATTATTAAACTATCTATCTACAACGGCTCTCGACCAATCAGCGCGCAAGAATTCTATGTTATGGTAAAAAATATATTTGATTGCATCATCACATTAGGTCCATTTGGTTGGAATTGACATTTTTACTACTAAAAAATATGAAGACATCTGCCCCTCAACCCACAACATGGAYGTGCCAAATGTCTCACGAAAAGACTATCAGGTATACCACAAGACGTCAACTGTTAAGTAATGCCCCGAGTAAGAACTAGGGAAGCAAACGGCACAGGAATGCAAGAAGGTGCTAATTGCGCATTGTATAATCCATCCATCCCATTGGTTAAAACATAAAAATCTGCTATAATTTCACAAGTTAGCGAATTTTCGATTATTTTATTTGATATCTGATTCCGACTTCATGAAAGCTTTCTTTAGCTTCAATATTAAGGCAATTCTATGTGGGGAACTGTGCAAATTAGAAGCATCTTTTGACTATTGTTTTGAGTGCTTATGATTGGAAAAGAGCTTTTAATACAAAAGAAACTTTGTTTCAAAATAGAGTTTATCCACATTTTATTTCAAAAATGTGTTACCCACAGATGGATACATAATCAGTGTGGAAACCAAGATATTCGTACATGGGGAACTTGCTATGCCGCAAAACAATAGAGAGCTCCCTAGTTCTTACGCGCATTGTTACTTAAACCAGAAACCAGGGGTTTGTGACCGTCATACATTTATTGTTGTCCATGCCCCTGGATATCTGATTTGTCTGTTGAAAACTTTGTCACAATTGTTCGAGGTTTCTCTATGTATTGGAAGTAAAATTTGCTTCCATTACTTTATTGGAAGTAATTTGGATTCCATATATTTGTATGATATACAGAATATTACATGGTCTCTTGGAGATATGAATTTTATCTCTCACTGGTTTGCCTTGTTCACTCAAAAATAGAAGCGACCATGTAATATCTCTTCTCTCTTTCTTTTTTTATTTCCACACATTTGAGGTTTCTCCATACATGTGGAAACATTTATCTAAGAAGTGAAAAAAGATTTTTTACAACCTAATTTGCTTTCATATGTAATGTGATAAAATGCGTATCTCTGCACCCATGTTATATCCTCTATACAAATACAGAAAAACATGTCCTTGTCTTTTTCAGCTTAACAACATCGAAGAAGGTTACATGACACTCATGGATGATCAAGGAAATGAACGTGAAGACCTTAAAGTCCCCGACAACGATTTAGGAAACGAGATCCAAGAGAGATTTGATAAGGATGAAAGTCTTATRATTACTATACTATCTGCCATGGGTGAAGAGCAGGCAGTTGGAATCAAGACTAATACTAGCGCCTA